CTGGGGAGGGTTACACGCGAAATAAAGTATCCGCGAAAATAAGTTGGTTACAGTATATCATGTACTGTGTTACAATTCTAGATTCTACTGACGAGGAAAGGTATCACTAGGCCGCCAAAAGCTGAATTTTAAGTTCGTTCTAGGTGGCCGAGTGGTCTAGAGCGCTGGACACAGTGCAGGCGGTGTTGTCTCGATATCCAAATAGCATGAGTTCGAATCCCGGCGAAGGAAAAACAAAAATTTGCTTCCGCAAATTTGCAGATTTAACATTGTTGTGCTGATATTTAGAGTAATTATGAATATAATATGTGTTTTCAGCCGTGTATTACCTTCACTGGTGATCCAATGGATGGATCTGTCCTAGAGTTGTCACTTCTTTAGACGTACTTATATATATATACAAGTCTAAATTGAAAACAACGTTCAAACCTATGATTGCGTTGGATAAAAACCGCAATTTTTATACGTGTGCATGCAAAACAAATTTCTTATATATATATATATATATATAATTCGTCTCAAATTTAGCACTACAATGTTAGATCTTTAAATTTGCGTTCGCAAATTTTTGTCCTTTCCTCAGCGGGATTCGAACCCTTGCTTCTGTGACATCGTAGCAGCTCCACCTGCACTGTGTATATATATATATACATATATAAAGTTCAGTTATGTCTTGGAATCAGTACAAGATAAAAACATTTCTTTTAAATTTTCTACCCTGCTATCTTTAATGGCATGTGTCTTCAAAGAAGTGGGTTACAGATTAAATTAATTCTGTCAAACCAGTCACCTTGAAATTCTGTGAAACAACTTAGAATTCAATAATTCTATGGTTCTTTTTACTACTTCATCAATAGGATTATTTCCATTAAAACTACTTGCCATTTTGAGATTCTGACCTTCTTAAAGACTTTAACAACAAATATTGATATGAGGTCAAAAAGGAAAGAAAGGTGCATGTCAAAAATATTCCTGCACAAAACAAAACAATCGTCTTTCAAACAATTTAAGTTAATCAAAATGACGTTATGAAAAGTACTTATGTCTTAGTGGCGTTTATACTTCTGTCGAAGTATTTCCAGTTGTTCAATTAAAATAATTATATTGATTTTTATCTCGCCTGAGACGAAAAATCACTAGTCTTGTCGGCGGCGTCAACAATTTGTTGAAGCTTGAGATTATGTCAGTTTTAGGGAAACCACTATGCATGTGGCAGACAGTATTATCAGTATAACATCTCATTTATATGGAGATTATTTGAACTTGTTCCTCTGTAATGGTCCACTGATTTTGAAATTTTTTTTACATGTTAAAGTTTATGATGAAGTATGTTAAAGGGGAACGTAATGGTAAGTGTAAAATATTTAGAATGAAGCTGTATTAGTATTGCCACTTCTAATATCATGGAGATTCACTGACCCCTGTGCCCTCTATCATGGTCTGTTGATTTTGAAACTTTTGTATTGTTTACATTTTCAATTTCCTACCCAAGGAATAGGTAATCTTACATGCATTTTGGCCGCAACATCTTTCGGAATTTTTGGTCCTCAATGCTCTTCAAATTCGTACTTTATTTGGCATTTTTGATAAACGAATAACACATATGACAGATATCAAACTATCTATCTGTTTGTATTGAAAAGATGGAATTTGAACCTTTTCGACTTCACCGATGTGTTCTACATAAAGGCAACAGTAGTATATCGCTGTTCAATAGTCATAAATCGATTAAGCGAAAACAAATTCGGGTCACAAACCAAAACCGAGGGAAACACATCAACTATAAGAGGAAAGCAACGGAACAACAGAAACACTGAACTGCAACAAAAACAAACGCCAACAATAGATAAATAATAGACTATTTGATAACAACTGCCATATTCCTGACTTGGTACAGGACATTTTAAGAAAAAATGGTGGGTTGAACCTGGTTTTATGACTAGCCAAACCTCCCGCTTATATGGCAATGTTAAAAGTAACGCTGAAATGGCAACATTACGTGACAGAATACAGTACAAATAAACACAAGAACACTCACGACAGAGAAACACATAAATAAATAATATAAAAGTACATTACAACATGTAAACCACAACGGAAACGTCCCATTAATCCACGACAGCACACCAGGACACCACAAACATAATATAAACTGTGCATTATAAAGTCAATAGCATTGAAATATTCTCATTGTAACAATTAAAGAGTTTAAAGATCTCCCATTGTTTTTGCTGAAATATTTAATTTGTCTAATAAGATACCTATACCTTTTACAACTGATGGAAGCATATAATACTTTTTGTCTCGCATGTGACGATAGTCGCAGAAGGCGAGAGATAGGCATTACAATTAGGCGGCGGCGTAAATTATGTGTATAAAGCTTTATATTTCATAAGACCTGGAAGCTTCATACCTTGTATTCAGGTCCCTTATGTTACGAAGTTTCTGTTGGTCAAATGTTTATTGCCCTCGATCTCATTTTCATGTTTCAACGACTGCTTAGAACAATAATTAGTTTTAATTTTTCGTTATGTCAATTTCTCACTTATGAGTGACAGGATAACTATATTTGGTATGTTATTTCCTTGCAACGTCTACATGTTCTTCAGGCAGGGTTCACTTGACCTCGACCTCATTTCATGGACCAGTGATCAAGGTTAAAATTACGTGATTTAGGTCCGTTTCTCAGATACTATAAGCAGTACGGCAACTACATGTGGATTCTGTCTGACAGGTTTCATAATACCTTGATCTCATTTTCACGTTTTATTGGTTAATGTGATATTTGAAAGCTGTTTTTCAAATACAATACGCAATACGTCAACCTTATTTGGTGAATGCAATGATTGTAAGGTGTACATGTCTGTCTTATGGGTATCATATGTCCTTGACCTCATTTTCATAGTTAATTGGTCAATGTTAAGTTTCCGTAGTTTTGTCCTATTCTCATGTACTATAAGAGATCGGTCAACTATATATTTGTATGGAATGATTGTAAGGTGTACACGTCTGTCTGGTAGGGTTCACTGTCTGCTGACCTCAGTTTCATGGTGGATTGGTTAATGTTAAGTCTTCCTGGTTAAGTCTATAAACAATAGGCACACTATATGGTGCAAGGAATGATTGGAATGTGTACATGTCTGTCTGGCATGTGTCAAACGACATTAACTTCATTTTCATGGTTTATTGGTCAATGTCAAGTTTTCATGGGTTAGGCTGGTTTTTTATACTATAACCAGTAGATCAACTATATTTGGTGTGTGGAATGTTTATAAGGTGTAGATGTCTGTCTTGTAGGATTTATCTAACCTTGACCTCATTGTCATGGATCATTGATAATGTTAAATTTATGTGATACTGGTAGGAAAACCTTTAGGACTTTCAACTTAAAGTTAATTATGGTCAGTGAAGCAGCCGAGATATTTCAGCGTGTTCACTCTTGTTAAACGTTTATTTACAGTTAATGTTAAGGAATTAAGACTTTAGAAAGACACTTTAAGGAACACTGGCTGATTTTCTGCACCTAAACGTTGTTTGTAAGGAGACTTTTGTAATTTTGGAATACAACAAAGATAAATGGAATTTAAGGTGTCCATTTTTTGTCTTTATTGACAATTGTAATAGAAATAAACAACAATTTTATATTTTCTATATCGTCTTTGGTGCATATATGAGCCTCCTCATGGGGTTTTTGATTATGTGATTACTTGGCCGTTTTTATAGTGATTATTTGATTACCAGACCAAATATTTCATGATTATTTGATTATTTGATAATCTAGGACTGTATTTTTGATTATTTGATTATCTTGTTTTAAAAAATAATTAATGATTATGTGATTATATTGGCAAAAAAAATGTGATTATGTGATTACTTGGACACCCCCGTGAGGGGACTCATATATTGGGCTTTTAATAGTTTTATTGCTTTACAAATTAAAAACAGTCAGTGTTATACGTTATATTGTAAGGTGATAAGTACTTTGAAAAATTATCAACACCAACGAAATAGAACACATTTTAAGTTCATGTGACGTCTTCGAAATTTCTAATGCTTTTATGCTCATTGAAACTCCAAGAACGCAATCACGACTTGACCTGCGACTATAACGAAGTAATTTACTCTAAGAGGTTTTAAAGTTCCTACTTTCTCAATTCTAGAAAAGTGTTCTACAATATCAATCAATATTTTGAATTGTGCATTAAGGCACACATTATTATAAGAGCCTTGAGCTTTATATTTTACATATGTTTTCATTGTCAAATAGGTTTAGGTTAGCAGTTATAATGTGACATGAATACCAGTTATTTATGAATAAGAAGATTTGGTATAATTGCCAATTAGAAAACGAACCATAAACCAAAAGACAAAGATGTGAACAATTAGAGGTCACAGTAGGACCTTCACAAATGAGCAAATCCATATCGTATAGTAAGCTATAAAAAAACTTTATGATAATTGTGAGGCATTTAAAAGAGAAAAACAACTGATTTATACTTAAAAAAAGAACAACCACTGGATAACAGAAAACTTGTGATATGAAAATAAGAAATGTGGCAAAGTTAAACATTTTCATGAGCGCTCAATCCTTCCCTATTCTGGGATATTGTATATCAAAACAACGTAAGAACACACTGTAAAAATCAGAAAAAGACACAAAGTACCGTCCTAAGTGCTAGTTCAATTCCCAATTTCAATTAATAAATAAATCATACTCTTCCAGACTAAAGGTCACCAAGCCGCGAGTTTTACTTTCGGGTTTTTAACGGATTACGTAAATGCCATGCAATATTCTAAGCATAGTAACTGTTCTGTTATAGCTGAGCAATCACTCTAAAATACAAAATTTTATTTTTGTATAGATTTTAAACGAAAATACTGTTTCCATTTGATTGCAATTAAGAAATAAAAAGATTTTAATACTTATATAGAAGAAGTGTAGTTACAACGTTCTGTATCTCACTCAATTAGTAAGATATAAGAACAAAGACTTTTTTGTTTAAATTTTATTTTATGTTTATTAAAATTTTAACATTTTTGCATATTTATTGTAATTCTTCTAAGGTGAACAAACATTCTATTTTTTCAAAAGAAACATACATAAATCCATCCTCGTGTCCTTACAAAAATCAATAAACTTGACAGTTTTTCTCTTCCAAAGTATTTGTTTTAGACAAAATATGTAAACTTTGTTTTTCGAAAAGGTCGTTCAATATTACATTAAGAAACCAAATTCAATTTTATTTCCAAGTATTAAACGTTGTAAGACTTTTATTTGATATATTGAACTAACTTAACAAGTAACTGACTAGTAGTTACTTTAATCGTATTTTCACTGACTGTCTCGCTTGCCAACAAGTGAAGAAGCTAATGGGTCCATGTATCGTTTTCCTACTAAACCGCTGGCTAATCTGTCGAATGGTCTTTTGCCGACAAGTCCGCTAGCTAAACGATCAAATGGTCTTTTGCCAACTAAACCACTTGCTAGTCGATCAAATGGACGTTTGCCGACTAAACCACTTGCTAAACGATCGAACGCTCTTTTACCAACTAAACCACTTGCTAATCGATCAAATGGACGTTTTCCAACTAAACCACTTGCTAAACGATCGAATGGCCTTTTACCAACCAAACCACTTGCTAATCGATCAAATGGACGTTTTCCAACTAAACCACTTGCTAAACGGTCGAATGGCCTTTTACCAACTAAACCACTTGCTAGTCTATCAAATGGGCGTTTTCCAACTAAACCACTGGCTAAGCGATCGAATTCACGTTTTCCTACAAGACCGCTTGCTAATCTATCAAATGGTCTTTTCCCAACAAGTCCACTAGCTAATCTATCAAATGGCCGTTTTCCCACAAGTCCGCTTGCTAGTCTTTCAAATAAACGTTTATCTATGTCACCGGTATCTATGTCACCGATATCTTGGTCCATAAATTCACTGTTGTCTCCAACATCGTTGTTTGATTCTGTGGAAGCAGTAAGTACTAGACATCTGAAAAGAATAAGAACCTTGTATTATCTAAGTTAATTCAACATTTGTCATTGTTACTGATAACTTCTGAGATGAATTTTGTTAAGATAAAATTGACGATGAATGGATGCGAAGTATTGTGGCAAGCCGTTCTCGTCAAAACTATGTTTAAACAATTTTTCGAAAAATTTACACACTGAGAATTAAAAAAAACACACTGAGATTAAAAAACCTAAAAACCCACACCGAGAATTAAAAAGTACACACTGAGATTTCATAAGAACGCACTGAGATTACAAAAAATGAAAAACACACACTGAGAATTGAAAATTACACACTGAGAATTGAAAATTACACAATGAGATTTCAAAAAGACACACTGAGATGAAATAAACTGAAAAACACACACTGAGAATTTGAAACTATACACTGAGATTTGTGCGCACTTTTTATGCGCACATATCTAATTAGCATACTTAATCCGAATCTATTACAAGCTTAAAACAACTAGGGGGACAGAACTCGTTAGTCCTTCAATTTGGCGCTAAATGATTTATAAAAAACAATAAAAATACAACGTATAGAAAAACTACGTTATTAAAGACCAATAGAACAAGAAAAAAAAACCACTTACTCTCATTACAAAATATAACCAAATGGTGAAAAATTTTATTAAAATTATAAGAACACATTGGAACGATCTGCAATAATACAATCAATGCAGTTTATTTTTTTCCCAAGTGCCTATTATAGCATATAAACGTAACAAAAATATAAAAGATTACCTTGCGAAATCAGGGTAACAGTTGAAAGACTTTTGAAAAGGGGTCATGCTTAAACAGTTTTAAGCAAAAAATCCCGATATACTGTAAGTAATAATCTGAATTATAGTCAACAAACTTATAAATATGAGTTAACAAAAAAAGTTGTTAAGTCTTGAAATTTATTACGAATGTTGGTTGTATAGGAACCGTATTTCATTATAACGACAAGAGTTCGGGAGACCAAGATATTAATCTGTTGAATTATTCATCTCATGAATATTCATTAGTAATTTGCATATTAATCTCAGTGTGTATTTCTTAAAATCTCATTGTGTATTTAACAATTCTCAGTGTGTGTTTTTCAATTTATTTCATCTCAGTGTGTCTTTTTTAAAATCTCAGTGTGTAATTTTAAATTCTCAGTTCGTGTTTTTCATTTTTTTAAATCTCAGTGTGTAATTTTAAAATCTCAGTGTGTAATTTTAAAATAATTTCGATTTCTCAGTGTGTTATTTTAGGTTCTTAAATTCTGATTTTTTTAATTCTCAGTGTGTAATTTTTTCGAAAAAATGGTTTACACATAGTTTTGACGAGAACGGCTTGCCATAAAGTATCCTCGATTAGTTTTACGACATGAATAACACGACGTGTGCTACTGGTTAGGCAGGAACTGGTTATCCTTCCATAGCAACATTTTTGTCCCTTTAATTTTCAATTATCCGTCTTGTGTTTTTTGGCTGTTGTTTGTCTTTTCGTATATTTTTCTTTTAGCTACGGTGTTGTTTTTTTATACTATTTTATTATTGGCACCTTGGCATTTTTTTCATAGTAACCCTTATACCTAAATTATTTTTATGCAGCGTGTAATACTTTTTAATCACAAGTATATACTTGTAATATGATTAGCTAAAAAGACCAAGTAGTTACTTCAGCTATATACTTAATTCGTGAATTATGTTCAAATGCAAGGTAGGAATTAGTATTTCGAATAGTAAAGAGGGAAGGGCACTATTCGTTGTATTTGTTTCGTTCACAAGGTCACCTAAGAAAGTTGTTAAAACCTGGTGGAATTCGAGAGTCTCTTAAAGTGCACTTAATACATTGTTTAAAGTTTTACACATTTCCTAAAAATGAAAATGTATTCAGCGCTACATATTGCTGCATGTTATAGACAATTTGTTTTACAATTTTATAATTTACATGTTTTTTGTAAAGACACCTTAAAACGTCCGTCTAAAACTGAAAATGGTCCTTCGTACCGGTCTATTGAGTTCAGCCATTTGAGCAGTCACAAACATGGTTAAACCCGCAACATTCTTTATGTGCAGGTCTTAAGGCAGGAGCCTGTAGTTCAGTGGTTGTCGTTGGTTCATGTCTGTCATATTTGTTTTTCGTAAATTGTTTTGTTAGTTTTCTCTTTTGAATATTTTAACATTTTGTTATGTCGGGACCTTTTATAGCTGACTATACGATATGAGTTTTGCTCATTGTTGAAGGCCGTAAGGAAACCTTTGATTACTTACATTCACATCATTTTAACTCTGGTTGAAAGTTGACTCATTGGCAATCATACCCCATTTCCTTATTTTTATCTTATGTGAAATTAATCCAGCAGCAATTGGCCTTTATATCTTTCATTTACATTTTTTATCTGCAAGTAACTCTTTTATTTGTGCTTCATATTCAAGTTTGATTTTACAAGTAATACATGTTCTGTAATTATTTGAAAAAAAGAATAAAAACGGTTACTTACAAAACAAGAAATGAAATGTAACCCATTTGTATGTAGTCAATCTGTGACATCTGTATTTCTATACCAGCACCTTTTTACCTGAAATATAAACCATACTATCTAGTTTAATTTACCATGCAAAGTTAATGGTTTATCCATTGATCAAAGTACATGAGACAAACAGACAAGGTGATGTATGACACATGAGAAAATAATCAACATTCCGAAGGATATTCTTGAAAGTAGACTTCTGCTCAAAAGGAAGCTACTAGCATACGAATTTAAAATGAAAAAGTTAAGCCATCTCCTTGAAAGCTCAACGCACGACATGTTGACTTGGTTAGATAGAAAGGTTAGCTTAAGTATGACATTTAATATTCCATAGACGACCATTAAATAGTCTGGGGGAATAAATAAACGTGATTTGAAAAAGATGAAAAAGTGAAATTTGACCAGAAAAAATTCCTTCTGCACCCCTTTCACCCTTCCAACCTGAATATCAGATGGTTGTCCCCTTAGATAAAACAGGTTAGAATTTAAAAGTTAGGGTGACAGCATAAAGAGAAAAAAATCTTAAGTAATAACTGAAAATTAAGGTATAATTAAATTTTTAAAAAAATGCAAAGTTGATGTGAAACAGAAATTGAAAATGCAAAGCTGAGATTTTACCAAAAGTAAAATAATACAAAATTAGAGGATATATATATGATACAAAAAACTCTTTTTGGGGGGAACACAGTAATAAAAGAATAGAAAAAAGGTAGGTTAAATACATAGCTTATGTGTAAACGGAAAGTCAAAATACAATTCTGAGATATAAGAGGAAGTAAAAAATTTGTTTGAATTGTTGTACATTTGTCATTTCGGGGCCTTTTATAGCTGACTATGCGGTATGGGCTTTGCTCATTGTTGAAGGCCGTACGGTGACCTATAGTTGTTAATTTCTGTGTCATTTGGTCTCTTGTGGAGAGTTGTCTCATTGGCAATCATACCACATCTTCTTATTTTTATATATGCTAAAGTAAAATTAAAATTAGAAATACAAATTTAATGTATTAAAGCGATAGTAATTTACCGATGTTCAAATAATGTAAAACGATTAGGAAGAGACAAATAAAGAATTACAGAAAGTAAAATATACAAAGTCTAGGTATAACAAGAAAAGGAAAATTCTAAGGTCAGGTAAAACTTAAGTGGAAACAAAAGCTGGACTGTGTCATTTAGTCTCTGGTGGAAAGTTGTCTCGTTGGCAATCATACCACATCTTCTTATTTTTATACTAAGGTATAATTGAAAGAAAAAATACAAAGCTACGGTTTGACAATTATACAGCAACATAGCCATAGCTTTGGTACAATGGAACATGTATGAAGCTTAGTTTAAACAGTATGTAAGAAGCTTAGGCATGACATAAAAACAATCTTGGATATAAAGCAAAAAGCTATTACAACATGCCAGATGTTCATAGTCTCGGGAAAGTTGAATTTTTCAAATACATTTTTAAAGACTGGACAATCGGAATAAAATTTTTACTTAAAATTTATTTCATATTAATCGAAGAAGGTTAATATGACTGAACGCATGAAACTTTTACTTAAACTATATTTATCTGGAAATCAACAAATTCTTAAGTCACTTATCTTTCAGAGAATACAAGTCTCCGATAATATCAAATAAAGGATGGCGATGAAATTCAACAAATTATTGAGATTAAATATAGTCTTAAGTCATTCTCTTATTTACAGTACAATTTTAATCTAACAAAAGTGTTGTGTTTAATCAAGATGGTAACAGTTTTTCTTTTTCTAACCTAGCATGCCATTAGTTTGAAAGCATCAATGGCATAGTGAAACTGTGATTCTTTTTTTCTTCACATGAAGCAAGTCCATTAAACATAAAACACACATTCAAATCCGTTATTTATCATTTGGTTAATCAAGACTCTTAAGCGTTGTAGAAAAGAAAAACATTTTCTAATATTTCAGAAAAAAACGAGCAATTCACTATATATTCATTATGATTATAGAGAGCTGTGTATTTCTGACCCCATTTAAATAAAAGACCCTGAAGCATTTGAGAAAAACAGTTTTTTTTTAAAATCTAAAGTTAATTATTCACTCTCTTGTTTTTATAGTGATTAAGATAATAACACATTGTTGACTACTGTATCCCAATTTTTGACATTTTTACCTATTATGTCTGTTTGTTTTGTTCACACTTTGTTGTCAATATAATGGAATTATATATTACTGCCATACATGTGAGAAGTTTAGCTAGCTATACAACCAGGTTCGGAGTTCGGTATTTTTGTTATTTTACTTTTTTCTATTTATAAAGTTGTACCGTCTGTTGGTCTCATTTTGATTTGGTGTTAACACTGGTCTGTTTAGGAAAAGTGTAATTATGATTATAACTGTTATTTTGCCTGGAGAAATTAAAATATCCATATTCTTTTAACCCCTTTCCAAATTATGTCAATTGTTTGATTTATGAACATAATGAAATAGGTCACTTTAGTACATTAGGGCATCAATACCATTATTGATGTCACTGTGACGTCATATAAAGCATGTCAAAATTGATATAGTTGATGAAAATGTAAATTTTACCTAAATTTTATAGTTAGATTAATAGATGAAAGCATTTTTCCTTAGCTGTGTACATTTTATAGATCAGGTATCTGACTTATTCTGATTTTAAAGTTTTTTTTCTATAAATTTATAGACATAGTTATATGATTTTTTTAAAAACTTTTATTTAAAGTTGATTTGCCTATTTTCCCGTGTACGTTCACTTGGACATATGCGATATTTTGCCAGATCACAAATACAGATTTTTTAAAAGCGCAACTCAACCAATCTGGGAGACAAATATCGTGTTCAGTTCAAGACGTTACACGATATCCATATCATTACCGGTTTATAACGTCATAATCTGTTCATTACCTCGTTAGCGCTAGTCAGTTCTGACTTACATTTCACGATTCATTGACTTTTATATACAATGTATTATGTTTTACTTCGGATTTCATTCATCAGACACTGAAAAGTCAGTCTACAGTTATAGATATTATTATTAGAGTGAATTTTGCGAGTATAACTCACCCCGCAACATGATAGTGCATGTTGTATTGAAATTTAAGTCTCAAACTATAAAAGTAAAAATTCAAATTCAATACAAGCGAACAGTTAAACATATAGGAATCTACAGTAATATAATAACGATCCACCGACTCCTGGTGACGGCCATAAAATTTCGAACAATTATTTCATTCTTATTCAATTGACCATGGATACAAAACGTAATTAATATATAATACGATTGAATATCTGTCGTCTTTATAAGCAACTTTTCAACCCAAGGACGACAGTTCTACCACAAGTAGTTACTGATGAAAACCAGAGAACGTGAATAAAATATAGCTTAGTTAAGAATGTCAATCAAGCAATTCTGATCACAGATAATTTGCTTGAGATATCAGAAGATTTTCTCTTGTTTTCTGTAATCTTAAAAGTTAAAACACGTTCGGTATGTAAATACATGAAAGATATATTAATTTGTTTTAATTTCTATACTATATTTGAATGAACTATTGTTATATCGTTTACAACTTGCAGACAATCTGATATATACCACAAGACTCAAGGTGTGTCTGTCCTAAAGTAAACTTGATTTTAATTTCCAACATATGTAACATTATTTGCGCATGATAACCTTTTCATTGATCAGCTCCTTGGCTTTCTGAACATTTTACTCTTGAATATAGAAAATCCAAAAAGGGAACTACGAACGTAATGATATTCATTTATCATTTAGCAATTTCTGTAACCTGTCATTAATTGCTTTGTTCGTTCTCCTTTTCACACACATATACACACATTTCTATATGCATTCTTTTAGTCTTTTTCGGTTTGCCTATGCTGCATGGTAAGAAAGGTCTTGGATAATATCCCAATAGGTTGCCAAGCAGTGATCCTGGGTCCACAGCTATTTTTAGATGTCCTTCGAAGCACACTTAATATCTATCGAATTAAATGGTCAAGTATATTACCTGACTAATAGATTGAATGGTCCATCTATTGATCACTTGATTAACGATTATCTAATTACACGAAAAGTATCTGACTCAACGAATGGATCACAGTTACAAATGTATCTAGAGAAATTTTCATACTTGGCCTGCTAGAACTATAATTTAATGTTAAAATCAATGTAATTTGACATGCAACAACAATTACATTAGATATAAAACGGTATTTGATTGAAAGCGTCAGATTATAAAGTTTTGTCTGTAACATAAAATCTGCAGACACCTGATAAATTGTTATTTAATGTACTCTAACTCGTAGAATTAACAGATTCTTTTATTTAAATGTGAAATTATATGTTTATGGCACAGTAAAAGCTTTATTTAATATTAGATAAATACAAAATAATGTTTAAAGTTATATATGACTTTACATTTATTTATTTCTAACACTTCAGTGTAGAACTGAAAGTTTTAAAGATAGAGACTGAAGATACCAAGGGGGAATCAAAACCATAGGTCGAATAAAAACATACAACACTATGTTCAAAAAGATAAACGACAAACACGATTGTCTCTGTAAAATTAAGAGCATTTTTTTAGGGGGACTCGGGACGATTTAGAGCGTGATATGTTGTACGGATACCTGTTTGTTGTTGACGACTGTATGTTGCCTTTAAAATGCACTATACAGAAACAAAAGATTGAGCAACACGAAACCTACATCAGGTAAATAGATAAATAATATATGCATGTACCAATGAATACATGATTTTGTAAGGTTAAAATGTACACTTTGTCCTTTTAAAAGTGTTAACGCAAAGTCATTAAAGAATTGGAAAACAAAACCAACAAAAAACAAAAACACAGAAGCTCCAAATTATTTTTAAATTTGAAAAAAAAGTACATTTTTAATCCAAGCAGCTATAGAGTAAAGATAAATGAACTAGGAGTACAACATTCCCACTGTTCACCAAGGAAATAATGTTATTTATGGTTATAGATTGGTTGTGTAAGCTTGATATAAGCTTTTCCTTACAAATATTTGAACCATAAAACATTAAGAATATTT